AAAAAAATAGTTAGTAGAGGAGGGATTCGAACTTGGGTCTTGGAGACCTTCATGATACTATTAACCACCAAGCTATTGAACTTTTATGTTAAAATTACGCATGTTTATTTACTTAATTGAATTCAAGAAGTCAAAATAATTACAGAAAAAGAAAATATCCCTGCGGGGAATCGAACCGGGACAAAAAGTAGGATTGCACAGGTTATTGCCAACTCCACTGCGCATCATTTTGTTATTTCAGGGGGTCCAAATTCTATATATACCAATATAAAGTCAAAATTTTACGTGTATTTATAGTATAATTTTTCTACGAAGGGTGTCCAATTGGACTCCCTGGAGCCTACGTGGCTCCGCCCCTGGTTTATAGTAATGGAGAAAATGGTGAAAAAAAATTTGGGTTTGGAGAGATGGTGAAAAATTAGAAGAAAAGAGTAAAATATAATGAAATAATTGAAGAAAAACGTTTTTAATGGATTTTCCACGTGTCAAATGCACGAGTTTCGACATAAATGTGGTTGTGGCTTTTTAGGGGTACAATAATTTCGATTTTAAACAGTTCAGGGGGTGATAGGACCCCCGTAAAGTTTAAGTATGTAATTGGAAATCCGGTAATAGATTAGGGGGGCATTTGACTATTCCAATATTATTTTCTATATCATTTTTCAAGACTCAATACGAAACATTAATCAGTAGGAATAATATGATAAAATGCATATATTAATAGTTATTTTCTTAATAATTGTGTCAAATCAAACAGTGACAAGTAAAAATTAACTGATGGAGTACCTCTGCCATTCATTTTACCTATCACATATTTCTTCAAAAAATATTAACTAAAAATCACCATTGTTAGATCAGGGTGCTAGAGAAGTTAAAATATAGTAATTTAGAGTAAAGTGGACCCAAGAGGTTCTTTGGCTCTATTTTATTTGACTTTTGTTTTTTCTTTTATGAGTATTCCCTTGCCAATTATTTGACTACGGTCGGCCGGGCAGTGCGGTCTGCCTCTTCGGGCAGTTACGACCTCCTTAAAACTTGCCGCCCCTCGTTGACCCCTATGCCCACCAAATCAATCTTCTTGTTTTTTTCTCTTTCTTTCTGTTTATACAAGTATTTTTCTTCTTCCTAAAGCTTTGTCAACAAAGTTAAAACTATGAATAAAATTGACTATAATTATTTCCAAAACTTGTATCTTAAATTCTTTTAAATTTATACTTCCATCTTTAGGTGGTTGTTTTTTTTTTTTTTCATCATGAAAAGAAAAACTGTTACCCATCATTAGTAACGAATTATTTGTTTTGTATTTTGTGTACACAATGAGTCATGCTAATTCAAAAAGGAAATATTAAATTTGATTAGTTTCAAATACAGAATGTGTTGAACACTTCAAAACAAATTGTAGTATTATGTACTTTATTAATATGTAAGTTTAGTTCCAAACGTAAAAAAAAAAAAAATCAATATCGAAATTGATGTATTTGTCCTTATGTTCTGGATTTGCCTTCTTTTTTATTTTAATTTATATTAGTTGCTTGATTTATATTCAAATGGATCGGTCTAAAATTTCTTGCTTTTTAAATAAATTAATCTTTAATTTTTATTTATAGCTATTAATCGAACTTATGTTTAACGATGCATAAGTTTTTTAAGAGCACATGACATAATAAAATATTATAATACAAAAAAATAAATTTATGCAATTCGAAAAAGTTATTTATCCTCGAAGGATGCAAATTAAAGAACAATACAAAATGAAAACAAAAGTGCAAATGCTCCCCTTTTTTTTGAAAAATTATGTAGAATAGTAAATATTTAGCATATATTAGGTACTATAACTATAGTTTAAGAATATTGTTGTTATTCACGTGATTTGTATAATTCTCCTGATTTGCATAAATTCAGAATTTTTATAATTTGATTGTTGATGGTATAAATTAAGAATTTTGTATATGCATACCCTAACTATTTGTATACGATTTACAAAAAAAATCATAATAAACTTCCTTGTTTGTATATTGGCAAACGAAATATACAAACGGAGTTCTGTAAAATTTCTAAATATATAAATGCAGAATTTGTATATATTTATCCTATATGTATATATTCGCAAACGAAATATCTGACAAAAATATACAAATTGCAACCTCCATTGCAGACAAAACTATGATTATGAAGCACAATTATTGAAATTATAGCTATAGAACATGTCTATTATGAAAAAAGGGAAAATAGGGTCTCATATCCTTCACATTCTCTCTGGGCTTTGGAGGTGTCACTGTCAGGTTCATCCAGCCCATTGGCCACCTCCTATAAGCCCACTCTATACCTTTCTTTCTTCATTACCCTCTACTTAGCTCTTCTCTTTCTTTAGTTTGTGCACTTTTTATGGGTTTGAGAGCAAATATTGCAGTGCAGAAAGCAACACTGAAATCTCCACAAGGTTACTTTCTTTTTCCTTTATTCTCCCACCTATCTTTCCATAACCTTATTTTTTCCATCAAAAGCTACCACATCAGCTTTACTTTCCTTTGTGTTAGTAAAAGTTTATAACTTTCTTGTTTAAAATTTATTTGGATGCAGGTAGCATGTATGAGTGGAGTAATGAGTCAACTTGCTTCAAGCCAAAGGCTGCAAAAACTGCAAAGTATAAGCAGAATGACATGTTTAGTGGTCCTTCTTAGCCATGGCTTTGTCTTCATCATCCTAATGATGAGTGTTGCATCCTCATCTTAATCTCGGTGCTATCTTACCTGAGCTTTCTCACCGCTTTTTTTCTGTTGTCTTTTCTTTCTTTTTTGACTTGTTGCCTTTCGTTCCTCCACCTATCCCATTCTTCTTGACCTTGTAAGACCTTTTCTTGACCTTGTAAGACCCCGTGTTATCTATTATGTCTTTATGTTTTGTGTTGTTGCAAATCTTACGTCATGACTTCTCCATGTAAGGTTTGTATTGTGTCCATCTTTCTTCCTACTCAACTCACGTTCTCCTTCCTTGTCTATCCCTCCTGAGCTATTGATTTTATTCCATGTAGAATTGAACACAACAAAAAGATTTGAATTCATCATGTATGATCACAAGAAAGTGAACTATTTCCCATCAAGAATGGTATACTCAAGCAAATTCATGTGATTATTTAGATACCCTATTGTTCCTTTTTGTGGGGGTTATGAATGTGAATTTGGAATAACATTGTACCAAATCCAATTTTATTATTTTTTATTTTGCATTTTGGCTTTTCAAGTTTTGTAGTTTGTCTTAGTATAATAGCTATTTATTTTTACTAGCTTTTTGTTTTGTTTTGTTTTGGGAATATGTAATAGAGAAACTACAAGTATTCTTCAATTTCTCTTGACTAGTCACTTTTACACACTTCTGTTGTCTCACGTTATCTTTTTAATTATAGAAATTAATTATAATGGACCAAAAGTGTACAATCACATGACCAAATTCAATGTTGAAGATTGTTATCTTTGTATCCAGAAACAACTTTACTCCACCAAACCAAAACAAAAAAAAAAAAAGTTTAAAAATTTATATTTGGTTAAAAAAAAAACATTGGTTGAATTTGAGTAGTACTTACAAGGCCCACGTCCTTCTCTTTTTGCCTTAGTTTATGGAAGAGATGCTTGTTTTTAAGCAAGAATGAGTTCATGTCATTTATGAAGGGGGAGAAATAATTGTAACGATTTGGGAAAGAAAAGATCAGCTTTTTTATACGAACAACTTTATTAGAGTACTGGTAGAAAAAAAAAATTATTCACTCAGATTGGACAAAACTTTCCCTTGTCTGTTAGCCTGTGTTTATATCATTTATGATTTTATAATATAAAGACTCGTGGGATGGACCGACGCAAGTACAAGATAAATCAACTTTTTTACTTGCAACATTAATTTTTAATTGCTTTATATGTATATTGTTATATGATCTAAATATATCTTTTAAATGTATCACCTTAGACAAGCTTATTAACACTAAATTAATATAAAAAAGGAATGATATATATATATATATATATATATTATATATATA